GTATAAACTCATCCCATTTGACCAAATATTTTATCTACTAAATTTAATAATTTTATTTAAGGCAGCAATGTGATGCCACAGTATTAGGTCCTTGTAATTATTTCTTTCTTTCAAGCTATTTTTCTACAACTCATTAACCCTTTAACTCCCAGACGTGATTAACATGTAACTTCTCCCTATAATATCCACACATTATCCAGCAAACAGGTAATGAGAATACTTTAACTTATCTTGTAGAAGTTTTCAACATGATCTAATACCAAATTCTCGTAACCAATTTACAAGGAAATGTGACACTCCTAGAGGGGAGAATTAACAAAATCAGAATTTTGGGAGTTAAGAATTAATCAAGATTTTAAATACAAAAAAAATTAAACATTTCTATGACTGTAGAAAACTGGTTTCCTTCAGTTTTGGATGAAAAAAATTAGGGCAATAATGCTTAAACTATTTTTTTGTTCAAAATTAATAACTTATTTGCCCTTTAAATAAACTTTAAATACCTGATGTGTGATAATATTCTGTTTGGAAAATCATTCTTGAATTTTTGTCAGTTTGAGTCTGTAAATGGTGTGGTGTTTGAGTGTTTCTCTTTTGTTTCCCTCTTAAAGATATTAGAAAGGCAAAGTAAACTCCAAAGGATTAAAATAAAAGATGAAAAAGTTGAAGACTCGGATACTGAAGAAACAGGAGGATTGTTTGACGACTGAATGAAAACAGTACCATTTGAATATCTCGATTCTACAATCTCTAAGTCTCTGCAGAAGACAAACTTGTCAGAACTTTTTGGTCGTCGATGATCTTGACTTCTCAGCATCGCGGAAAGTGAACATTTTCAACGCGCAAGCTGGTTTTGATTGGTTAACAAGCATCGGTCGCGTGGAAACGTGAAGGGAAAGATCTCGTAGAAATTGTCGACGCTCATACTAATTTTTTGATTAGACAAGAAGCTTTAGGAACTCTTCGGTAGATTCAACCGAGAAATGCTGAGCAAGGATCTTGTTGGCTGGTAAGAATTCCGACGAAGATTCTTTTTGTATGTAGAAGTTGTTTTGTCGTGGCCTTTGACACAATTCTTTCTTTCTTCTTTGCTGCGTAATTACCGGTGGAGTACTTTCAAGAAGTCACGGTTATTTAATGTTTTCGTTTGGAGCTTTACCACTTTACGCTTTAGCGCTTTAGCGCTTTACGCTTTACCGAGCGACTTCTCCCCAACATCAAACGTAATCTGGCTGTCCTCCTGTCATCTCTCGTGCTTGAGCGGTGAGACCGGAAATTGCGTGTGTATTTACATTAAGAAATGAAGCCCGCGGGTTTTCATTTGCCTCGGACGGTGTCCGAATGTTAGCCGGGTTAATTTGTTCCCGCGAAGTGTGAATACTATTAACCCTATGCTCGCGATATTGTTGGAGTTCTAGAGAGTTTTCCGTTGAGGACCAAGATGGGCGCTTTGAATAACTCTGTTGTGGCCGATCAGTTTTGGATTTCCGTCCTCGCCTTCTCGCTTCAGGGCTGTAGCATGTTGTTACGGTAACCTGGTCGGTAACGAGAATTTCTTCAGTTAGCTGCAAAGAAAAGAAATAAAACAAACATCGGTGGAGAGCTGTCAGACATAATGAAGGGGACAACGCATAGCCAATAAAGGGGAAAAAAAAAACACTGTGCTTAAGTCCGCGTAGCTTTTTTGTAGCTTGACGTACTATTAAGTGGTGTAATAAAATGCTTTCGGAAGCGTGACATCTTTCCATCATTTAATCGTCAACTGACCAACCTCCCTCTGGTGACCAACTCACGATTAGGTTTTTGCATCTGATTAGACGAGAGGGTGACAGGAGTTTTTAGACCAATCACATTCAGAGGTACAGCAACCACGTGATTGAGCGCTTCTCGATTGAGTGTCATAAAACTAAAACCTGAGTAATCACAATGGCCAATCAGAAGAAAGGAAAAACCTCTAGGAACCAATGAGAACTCAAAGGAAAACAACCAAATTGTCTAAAGCGCAGGAAAACGCGGGTGAACAAGTCTTGCATCTGATTTGTTGAGAGAGAAGGTCAAGTTTGCTGGACCAATCACTGAGCAAAGTAAGGCAATACTAAAGCAATTCCGGACTTCTTCTGACACTCATCTGAAAACTGCTCTATTCGATACTCAAGCGAAAGTTGTTCTTCTCAAATTTTAGAGTGCAAACTATCTTTCCAGCGACGTTCAATCCCGAACACAAATCACCTTCAACAACCGCGCACAGGCCTATGATAATAAGGTGGTACCACCAGCAGTATCTCGAGATTTTCGTACCTTTAGAAATTTCCGAAGTTCCTTTTCAACTGCTGTATGTCCATTAGCTGTTGCTATCTGTATTAAAAGGAAAGACACTCAAATCCTCAATTTGTTAAAAAAAAAAAACCAAAAACACGAAAGAGGGGTTTATCGAGAGGATTTTGCGAGAGGTTTATCAAAAAGTTCCTTAATGATCTTTACTCCAATGACCAAGGTGCTTACCTGCAACGGAATCTGCCCATAACGATTAACGAGTGTTGCATCTGAAAATAGAATAAGCTGACGGTTGAAAGTACGGCTTCGGTAAAATTTGTGCATCTTAAAGAAAAAACACGTCTCAATTCGTCAAGTCTATCACCTGCAATCATTCCTCACTTTCATCATCCTTATTCAGCGTCGTACGATATAATTAACAATTATTCCACGAGCGCGCGTTGGGTATGAGATGATAGATAGCCAACGAGGCGCGTAGCGCCTCGTTGGCTATAATCATCTCATATCCATCAAGCGCGAGTGGAATAATTGTTTTATTAAAAACGTTAAATTAAATTATTAAATTTTTAGCTCCCTTTTAATTTTAAGCTGACACGTACGCTTGCCATATTTGTAGATTATGGTATATTGGCTGATATACCATAATAGCTAAGCCAATAAAAAGTCTTGAATTGCATTATCCAATGATCTAGTTTTTAATAAAATTGTTTATCACCTCTTTGTCTTTTTGTCCTTAATTAGTAACGACTAAATCAAACTCGATCTGCGCCAAGGACTCAAGTTTGCACTCAGTACTCGTGAACCCGATTTCCAAATATTCATAATGTAGCTGAACTCGACATTTGTTTGACCTGAAACGTTTTCCGGGTGCTGTTTAATTCAACGCCTCCTCACGATTGTCAGTGCACCGAGAAAGTTCGTCATGCGCAATCAGTTTCAATCTTCGCGAATCTTAACCATCTTTGTTCTGTCTCGATTTTTTCTTACCAAAGGGAAGTCAAACAATCGATGTGACCGTTTGCTACGTAATTGAATTTAGAGGACTTAATGTTCTTCTCAGTACTATGTGTTATTCCTTTCCTTTAAATTCTAGTATACAGTCACAACGTTTGTGTGGACTCCCTGTTCTTACCTCCTCAGTGCTGATTAACTAAGCAAATCACTATTTTAAGGGTCAATGTGAATGTAATTTTCCTATGCTGAAAAAATGGTTTAGAACTAACCTGCGCCCTCCTTAAGCAACAGGTTGACAACATTGAGCCTGCCGCACATTGCCGCTGTATGGAGTGCGGTCTGTCCATCAAAGTCAGACACGTTCACGTGACCGGTCCATCTTATTAAACGTTACATGGTCCTTGTGTCACCGGTGCTGGCAGCGTTTGTCATCATGGAGGCCAACTTGCATTCACTTATGGTACCTCCACGTGCCTTCAAGTATTGCACCACCCCATGATGGCCATTCACGATGGCGTCTACACGGATGCGTCAAATATTACGCTAATCAGTTCAAATAACCAATGCAGACATGAAGATACAGTTTTTTCTTGTGACTATTGTCACAGCGGGCGTATTTGGCTAATCACACCAAGGACCGTCAACACAATGAAAGAATCAAAACTCGAAGCATAACGACACCGAAATCGTTCAGTGCGGAAAACAAGTGGTGTGTACATAATACCGGGGCACAACGCATAATGGTGGGTGAGTTTAGAGAAATAGTGCTTCCTGACGGTTTGCTCGCAGGATTTCTGCGATAATCTCGCAATCAAAAGGTCCAGGTTCGATGGAACTATGGGCAAGTCATGAGGTGGTCTTCTTGGCTAGGACTGTTTACTCTCATTAGGGCTCTCTCTACGCGAGACATTGTGGTGAAATACTAGCAGATTGGCAAATTACGTAATATTTCAAAAACGAGTGCGAGTGTTTCATCGGGGTTTTCAAACACGAGAAAACTGATGACGGCCGAGTGCTTTTATTGTTTTCGAGTGTTTAAAAACCCCGATGAAACACGAAGCACGAGTTTTTGAAATTGCTTCTCAATCGTGCATCATTAGCCAAGAACAATGAAAACATTCTGACTGATTTTGGTATCAGTGGGGTTTGACATTTTATCAAGCTCTAGGGTTTGATGTTTCATCAAAGTATAGTGGAAAAGCCTCTCTCCAGTATTTCATCGGGGTTTCTAAACGCACACATGTGGCCAAATTGGCGTATCGTGATTGATGAATTATTAATGAGTTTGAGAATTAATGGTAAAGAATGAAAAAATAGCCCCGAAGTACTCCGCTTCATTTTCTGAGGGTCAAAGCAAGGGAGGTCCAGGCGCACAGGGGAGGACTCGGATCTAGGATGTCTTATTATTTGGCCAATCCAGCTCCTAGGAACCTTACCGGCCCGGCCTCTCTTTTTAGCTTTCATTTCCCTAAACTGGCCGACTTTCTTTAGTACTATACACAACACGATTATTCAAATTTTAGCAACACTATATATTATTCACATACACCAAGGTGAACCTTCGCTTAAACATATTTGTTAAACAGATATTAATGTTATACGATCCTAATAACACGCGACTTTTCTGATACTGGCGTCTGACTGAACGCTGGGATTGCTCAACCAAGTGCCAGGTCCCTTAGGGTGAGGGGAAGTTATTCGCGCAGCCTCGCTCTTCGTTGTTGAAGAGGTTGGCAATTCCCAGCGTTCATTTGGACGCCAGTAATAGCAAAGCCGTGTATTTACAAGCCACTCAGAAGTAACAATTTCCACTAAACAGGCGACTTAGACTAGAACACATCATTACAGGACTGCGCGAAGACAAGAAGTTCATTTTCTCTCTGTAATAACCAGCATTATCTGTCGTTCTTGTTGCACACGTCTGTAAATGATTTCTCTCACCAATGGAAATTGAAACTCAAATCTTCGCACTAACATTATATCCTTTATAATGTTTTAGAGATTTTTATGGTTTTTATAATCTTATCGATCCGATTTATAAAATTACTGTACAGCGCTATTGGATAGTGATAGAAATAGCGCTATATAAATACCGTACTATTATTATTATTATTATTATTATTATTATTAATGTGTATAGTGAAAGACATATATGAATGAATGTATTTACATTTTCATTCAGTTCCTTTTCCTTTAGTAGGCATGCGTGTTAATTCCCCCTTTGCGTTGTTTGCTTACAATCTCGTTCTCGAGGTCACACTACCGTAATCCCTTGCGGGCAGAGAACAAGGACCTTGTTACGTCACGTTTTCCCACCTGTATGGGATCATGCCATTTCTCCGTTACAGAAGCTGCTACTCTTCATAAAATTCCCCGAAAAAAAAAAAACCTTATCAAAATATATACCTTATACTAGCTAGTTCAAAGCAAGCCCCTTTTTCTGTGTTCACTCCTTTGTAAATTAGACGTGTCTGAGTGAAAACTCGGTGCTCCTCAAAAAATTTTTCGGCACAGTCCTCCTACGATTTAACTCTTATTTCACATTCAAATTTCATATCATGTAAAAAGGCATGTGAAAGGCATTTGAAAACCATGAGAAAAATGATATCCCTCTCACAAAGTGTTTTCACATGGTTTTTCATCAATTCTCAAATGAAATTTACCCATGAACAAACTTGCGCTCACGCATGCCATGGAAGCCTAGACGGCAACTTGTGGCTGAACCACTCCTCGGAGTGTCCAAGTAAATATTATTTCCCATTAATTTTCAGCGCAGAGGAAACCGTACTTTTCAGATTCAGTAAGTGTCGTGTGCTTTAATCAGTTCGCTTTAAATCATTCGCTCACAGCTGCTCAAGAATTAAGAAAAAAATTGCATGCAGAGTACTGATCAAGACTCCCCGCGGTTTCACATTTATGGAAGAGAAGTCTGACCTCGCCACAAAACTTAAATGCTTCGGAAAGTATTTGTGTACAACTTTTAAAATGGGATTTGTGCGCGCTGACATAGATTTTGTTAAGATAATAAAATTTCCGTGAAATAACAAGTTGGATACTGAGTTCTTGTTCTCATTTCTTTTGTTTAGGTCATTAGAGTATCCACAATAGGATTTCAATTCTTTCTCTTTTTCAAGAGTTTGATTTAAAATCTTTACCCCTAACTTGAGCGAGTACTAAGATCCTAATGTCTATAATTAATTCACTGACTTCCCATACAGAGAAACTACCACTTTCGCGTGTGATTTATCTAAAGCAAAAAATTGGGAACTCGGAACGAAGCGGAATTCATGAATTCAAGGACTCATAATCGAAATATAAATATATTATTGATTTCAAACATATGGTCCAACAGTGTTACCAAAACATTGACTGACCTGAACAAAAAAATTTCTTTTTACAGAGGATATACTACAGTTCACCAAATGACCATTCCCTGCTTTGCCGGGATTCGCATTGCCGGGATTCGCTTTGCCGGGATTCGCTTTGCCGGGATTCGCATTGCCGGGATTCGCCTTGCCGGGAATCGCATTGCCGTTTCTAAAAGCTCAGTGTCGTATATTCTGCAACTGTTCAAATGCCTCAGGATTTTCCGTCGCTTGTCCGCGAGAACCATCATTACTCTCAATAATTTCGAAAGGAACATTTTCATCGCAGAACGTGTTGCAGCTACCAGGAAGGGAAGATTTAAACTGGTTGATTTCCTCTTTGGCCTTTTTCCTTGTGACTGAGGAGGCGTACCAGTACTGATGACGAAGTTTTCTGCATTGGAAGGCAAGGGGGACGACGTACATCCATGAGGTTCCTGACAACCATAATCGCTGACTACGACCAAAGCACAAGAAGCGCCTTTTTCGAGTCTCTCTTTTGTTCTATCTACCAGTTCTTCGATGATTGCATCGTTTCGATTTTCACTATCGGTACTTCGCCTAGTAAGACTTTCTTGTCTGGAAACTTCTTGTCTGGAAACTGGCCACTGCTTGTATCCTTGATTTATCTTTATCGACTTTCCACGATCGTCATTCTCCATTGCAGAGAGAAGTGCGGTCGTCATTCAAGGAACACGGAGATTGAGCATATTTTTCTGCACTTCCCCCAAACAGTTCCCGACTAAAAGGCATAGGTTGGTGAACATCGACACAAATGATGAGCTTTTCTGCACCAGTGGACGAATCAGACGAGGTTGTTACTTGCATTGATCCACCAGGTCTCTCGTACATTGTGTCATCAGCCATAGTCAAACCACAGGATCCTGACTTAACCTGGGGGTCTTCTTCTCGTTTTGTTTCTTTCACCTCTTGAAGATCATCCAAATCTTCATGAACCACCACACGGCGCCAGCTGTGATGACTCTGCTTAGGAGTGGGTGCCTCCCCCTGATCCCTATTTCTCGTCAGCATCTTCACCACTTCGCTTCTGAAGTAACGGTTGAGTACGAAGCAATACAGGAGTGGATGTAAAAGAGAATTCAGCTGTGTCAGCAGCTCTGTCCAACGGAAAATCGTGCTTGTTCGTAGGAGGGTCACATTCTCGCCTCCAAGAATGACGACGGTGGGAAGGTAAGAGAAAAATAAAACGAGGGTTATTGTAGCTGCGGTTCTGGCCAGGCTCCTTTCTATCTTTTGTTTGGCACGCACCGCATTTTCACGGATGTCAGTAAGTCAGTTTTCGTTGGCGCGCACCAATGTAAACCATTACGTAGAAATAGCCGATCAGAACCACGGCCATCAAGATGGGAAGGGAGAAGATGATGTCCAGGATTTGCACGTACTTGTAATATGTACCAGACGCGATTAATACACGAACCAGTACGGATTTCAGAATCCAGAGCACCCAAGAAATTGCCAAACACCGGGTGACGCGCTTGGTGGTGACAATCACTGTAACCCTTCCACTTTCTTACCGCCACATACCTTTCCCATGCAATTATAGTCAAATGGGATTCGTGTTTTTCTCGTTCTCATGTTCCCACCAAAAACGTAGCTCCATTTTCTGCCTTTAAAAGCACACACAACCCACAATTCCTCTACTCGCTCCGACGAAGGGCTAACGCTCGAAACGTCAGCTTTTGTAATCGTTATGGTGGCCAATTTACCATTTCAACTTTGTTGATATATCCAAATTGATTCATTAATTAACCTTATTGCATCGCTCGCAGCGCTCGTGGGCAAGATGAAGCGAATCCTGTGTTCTGATTGGTTACCCGGCGGGCAAGATGGGCCCATCTTGTCCACCCGGGATTGCCTGCATTGATCCCGCGCATGAAAAAAGCAGAATGAGAAATACGTTCGCAATTCTTGGAAAATTTCGGCGATGGGAACGCAAAAAGTGGCAGAAGGTAGTCAAAACAGAGAAAACAGAAATGACTCTCGTGAGTTTGTTGTGCTACAACACAGTTAGCTCTCGAAGTAAACAAGTCATTCTTAATTCTTAATAAAGCGAAATATTTTTGCAGTATTATAAGTCCTTTACTAACCAAGCTTACTGGATCAAGATGGCTGGATATTAGCCTCGTTCTTTTTTCGCATTTTTATGGATCTCGACTTCGTCTCGTCTCTAATAACGCATATGCATCATACCCTTTTTTCCCTGTACGAATGAATTTAAAATATCAGATGGCAAAATTTCAAGAAAAAAATTTCCAGGGGTAGATATGATTTCAATTTCAACGCTGACTCACTTGACTTTTCGCACTTTTCGCGAACTGCACGCCGCTTGCTGCGAGTTTTGATTGGCTCATGGTGCTTTAGGATTGGTTTGGCTGTGATTGGCTGCATGTGAAGATCGTTCGTTGGGCTTACAGAACATCTTAAGACAACAGAACTACGCTCTCGGATCACACCCAAGTTAGATCTCTAACTTGCAACCTACTGATATACATGACCCAAAGAAGCTACTACAAACAAAATACCTTACCGAGAAGAGGAGAAAAATCATTTGTATCTCTAGCATTGATGTTTATTCCAGGTTGTAAAAGAAGAAATTTAACCACATCCAAATGACCCTCAGCCGCGCTGACATGTCTTAAGAAAAAAACAAAAAATAAAAAACAATCACTGTCAACAATGCATGTAAATGTTACTATCTCCTAACACAAGCACGTTTATGCCTTTGATAAGAGTACAAACAGCTGTTAAGAGTCAATCTTCAAACCTGTTATCAAAGCTAGTTCGACTAAATAAGAACAAGAGATGAAGAGAAGTGTTAAGTAACAATTTCAGCAATGTTGAAAGGCTAATAGGTTTGCAATCACAGAATCTCGAGTCTTTACTCCTTCAGAGGTAAATTGATTTGTGATGATTCTTTCTTATTTTTGGACAATATACTTTCATGCGCTTAAATGACAATCGCCCGATCAACCTTACTCGCAAATGTGTAATCGACAGCGATCACGCTTGCCGATGATGCTTCCTTGATTTTAAGCTGAAGCTACACATCGACATTTTACATCAAACTTTGGTTGGGACCGAACTACAAACATACTTTGTTAGAACGAGGAATTTGTCCGAAAGAGGTTCGTTGTACTGGAGTTCATGTAGGACTAGGGGAAAGGGGGCGGGGCGGTGGGGTGAGCAGGGACCAAGCCGGGACTTGGGGACTAGCGATTTCCTCCCTCTAATGGATTCCACGCAAGAAATGTTTGGTGCTTACTGCAAAGCACTTCATATGACTTAATATGCTTTATATTTGACACACTTATGTGTCTTTTTATGCAATTCTAACGACGAGGACACTTTGTGATGTATATCATACTGAAAATGAATCTCTTGCAAGTGGAAGTCACATGTGCGGTAGCATTCAAAAACTTACAGCGGCGTCCGTTTGTTGAAGTCCCTGTAACATACCGTGGCGCCATTATGAACCATATGTCTCAGCATCTGCAGATTGCCTGTGGTAGCCACTTCACAGATTTCGTGCGTGCTGTAATGATGGGACAATCGCTTGGCACCCAGACCCTCGAGTAACTGGCTAACCGCGAGGTGCTCGTGCATGTTCGAATACTGGAAAACGCAAGAAGAAAACAAGGTCTTCGTTTCCACAAGAATTCCATTTCTTAAGCCGCTGACACAGCTGGCGATTTTGTACGCCAATCACAGCGAATTTGATCGCCGGCGAAAATCATTAGCGATTTTCGCCACAGATCGCTGCGGAAACACTTGGCAAATTTTTTCGCCAATGGCGACAATGTGGCACTTCAGCCTTGATCCCAAATTTCATCGGGTGACGTTTAAAAATTACGCGAAACTCGCGCAAACCAAAGTGAACAAACCAAATGGCGATAGCGAAGCGAAAAAAATTGTTGGTTGCTGCCATAATTTTGCAACTAGAGCGCTCCAGGAAGTGTTCTGACAATAGAAAAATATGGTCAATAGAAAAATATGGTCGAAGACATGGATTTTGAGACGAAAGACGCTTTTCTGATCCCATTGTGATCAAACTGACTTCTTTTTCTTCCGTCCAGAAACAATTTTTGATGCCTTCCGCCATTTTGAAAAGTCATGTGATAATATCGCTCAACTTGATTGGTTTATTTTACTGGCAACTGGCAACTGGCAACAAAGGTAAGGGGAGAAAATCGCGGGAATGGGCACACTTGGCAAATGCCGGCGAATTTAATTGCCGATATCTGACATACCAGATATCAGCGATTTTATACACCGATCGCGGCGATCGGCGAAAAACGCACTCGCCACACCGGGCACACCTGGCGATTTTCGCCGATTACCACGATCGGCGTATAAAATCGCTCGGTGTGTCACCGGCTTTACTATCATGTAAAAATACGTTATCTCGTCCGAGAGCAAGACCCTGCTTTGGATCCCACAGACTCCTTAGTAGGAAAAGCGTAACCAGATATCTACGGAGCTACATTGCCTTATTGAGAGTTTTTTTGCAAAAATGAGGATTGCCTTCAAAGATAACATTAAAACATCAGAGGGTAGAGAATGCCCCTGAGAGGAACAACAATGGTTAAAAATGCTGAAAATTGACGTGGGTTGCAAATGACGACCTTTAAAAACGTAACTGAATGCTTCAAGATTGACGAACCATGATCTACCAAAACAATCCTTTGGTATGGGCGGGGGGAACCTCTTTCAACTTAACCCTACCCTTCCCCAATCATACCCAGTCCCCTATTTCAATTCGCCCGTGCACTTCCTCCTCCAGACGGCAAAAGAAGTAGCGCCTAAGTACGTGCACATTTAAACGAGCTTATCCTGTTCTACTCCGTAATCATGGATAACACTATTGAGAACCAATCCACGTTCTTTCCCGCAATTTTTGCGATAGACTAATAAAAAAAAGATCACTGAAACAGATCGCTTACATTCAAAGGCGTATTTCCAAGCGAGTCGACAGCATTGATGTCTGCTCTGTGATCAGTGAGGTAATGTACTACTCCCCTACTCCCAACAGCGGCTGCAACATGAAGAGCAGTGCCACCATCTTCATTTGGTGCATTCACATCCACGCCAAGAGACACCAGGCGTTGAAGCTCCTCCACATCGTTTACCACTAAAAAAAATTGAGGAGAAAAATTTGACGCACTTAAAGCAATTTAATGGTTCCATACAACTGCTTGTCTTGCATTTTAGTCATCTCGTCTTTTAATGTCATAAAAGAACCATGTTTTTCTGAGGGTTGAACCAAAATTTCCGATTCCTTTTATTGTACGCAATTTGGCCAAGGTAATCAGTTCGAGGCAGCTATCTTCAACCTTCACCTGTATCGACTCCAAAATAGGCATGATACCAAATAGCTCATCACGAAAGGACACACCGTACCAATAGCGCTGCAGAGCAAGTCTCCGACTCCGTCCTCACACCATCCCGCTCCGTGACGTAACAGACACTGCACCACCTGATTATGACCGAACTGTACAGCTTCTGTAAAACGAATGTAGATGAGATTATTACGCTGTGACTGAAAACACCCGGCTATAGATTAGTTACCGCGATAGCCGCGATCAATGGCCAATCAAATTCTAAGTAATCAGCGCAAGCACACACACAAAAAAAACATTAAGTTCCGTTGTAAGGAAATGTCACCGTCCTGAAGTACGGGGAAATTTGAATGAGCCAAAGCGCAGTGAGTTGTAAGTTTGCATCAGATTGGCTAAGAAAATGACGCGAGTTTGCTTAAGGGACCAGTCAATACTTTTCGCCTGAGGGATGGGGGGGGGGGAGGCGGAAGATTTTGGGATCACATGATTTTCAGGGAGAACGGAGGGGGGATCAGTCGTCGCCAACAGAGTTTAGAGGGAGGACTACAGAAACTGGCTGCCTGTCCCTATCTACTTACAGCGCGTATTGATGTAAAACCAATGAAATCCAAATTTAAGGTGCAGATTTAGTTACCTCGTAGTGTTGTTTGGGAACTTGAAACGAAACCCGGAGGGTTAACTAGTTCTAATTCTGTCCCTCGCAATTGTCAGTTACGAGAAATATTTTCTACTTAGCAAAATCACTTTACCAGACAGTGGTGACGCTTTCCAGCGGTCTCTTGCGTGATTATCCACACCAGGTTGCCGGAGAAGGAACTTTACACAGCTGAGATTACCATGCATGCAGGCCACGTGACTATAAAACAATTTAGCAAATCAAAATACATTATACTGGAAGAAATGCGAAACTACGCTAAAACAAATTTGTTTGCGAATTCTTTTTTAAGAGAAAAAAAATGATAGTTATAAAAGGGTCTATATCAGAACACAATTAGAGGTTCTCTTCTTTGTTTGTTTTTTTTTTTTTCTTAGGTACGGGGGTAGTTGAAAATTACTGTTTCCAACAATTTACGAAACAATAAAGTAAATTTTTGTTTCACTCACAGTGGCGTTCGTTTATCAAAATCTTGCACACCAAAAGACACTTGTTGAACATGCAAGTTATCCAATTCTTGTAAATCTCCTTTGGCCGCCACCTTGAAGAGTCTTTTGTGAAGAACTTCCCTGTCACTGCTTATCACGGATGACGGTAAACTATTCGCGGTATCATACGCCCCAAACATTTTGTTTTTCTTATCTAAGTCCAGACCAACCTGGAACAAAGTGAGCAGAATAGAATCGAGGTCATATAACATTTCTCGATAGTCGGCCGATGGAAAATCGCTTCATAATCGACTGATACTCGGCATATAATCGAGCCACATCTAACCAAGTTACCTCAACACCCACTACTTGTCAAAATGCCAAAACAGCCACTAGTGGCCCAAATTCCCAAAACGGCAACTACTACCCAAAATTCTAAGACGGCCATTAGTTGCTGAAATATCAAAACGGCCACTAGTGTCCAAAATACAACATGGCCATTGGTGACCAAAACCCCAAAAAGGCCACTAGTGGCCAAAGTCACGACACAACTTCTACTGCTCAAAATTCCCAAATCGGCCACTAGTAGCCAAAATGCCCAAACAGCCACTACTGGCCACAATGCCAAGAGGGCCACTAGTGCCCAAATGGCCAAAACGGCCACTAGCTAGTGGCCAACATGCCAAGACGGCCATTACTGACCAAAATGCCAAGACAGCCACTACTGACCAAAATACCGAGACGGCCACTAGTAGCCAAAATGCCAAAACAGCCAGTAGTGGCAAAAATGCCAAAACGACCACTACTGGCGAAAATGCCCAAACGACCAATACTGGCCAAAATGCCCAAACGGACACTACTGTCCAAAATACCACGACAGCCACTAATCCCCAAAATGCTAGGACGGCCACTACTGGCCAAAATGCCCAAACGGCCACTACTGGCAAAAATGCCCAAACGGACACTACTGTCCAAAATACCAAGACAACCGCTAGTGGCCAAAATGCAAAAACTGCCACTAGTGTCCAAAATGCCAAAACAGCCACTAGTGACCAAAACGCCAAAACGGCCACTAGCAGCCAAAATTCCTAAACGGCCACTAGTGGCCAAAATGCCCAAACGGCCACTTCTGGCCAAAATCAAAATGCCAAAACTACCACTAATGGTCAAAATGCCAAAACGGCCACTAGTGGCCAAAATGCCAAAATGGCCACTAGTGGCCAAATGCCAAAACAACAACTAGTACTCAAAATGCCCAAACGGCCACAACTGGCCAAAATGCCAACAGTACCACTAATGACCAAAATGCCAAAACGGCCACTAGTGGCCAAAATGATAAAATAGCCACTAGTGGCCAAGATGCCAAAACAACCACTACTGGCAAAAATGTCAAAACGGCCACTACAGGCCAAAATGCCAAACCTGCCACGACTAGTGGCCAAAACGGCCACTAGTGGCCAAAATGATGAAATGGCCACTACTGGCCAAAATGCCCAAACAGCTTCTACTTGCCAAAATGCCAAAATGACCACTAGTGGCAAAAATACTTAAATGGCCACTAGTGGCCAAAATGCCAAAACAGCCACAAGTGGCCAAAACACCAAAATGACCACTAGTGGCCAAAACGCCCAAATGGCCACTAGTGGCCAAAATGCCTAAACGGCCATTACTGGCCAAACTGCCAAAAATTCCACTAGTCGTCAAAATGCCAAGAGGGCCACTAGTAGCCAAAACGCCCAAATGGCCACTGGTGGCCAAAATGCCAAAACGGCCACCATTGGCCAAAATCCCATAACCACCACTACTGGACAAAATGCCAAAACGCCCAATAGTGGCCATAATGCCGAAACGGGCACTAGTGGCCAAAATGCCCAAACGGCCATTAATCGCCAAAGTGCCCAAACGGCCACTACTGCCCAAAATGCCAAAATGGCCACTACTAACCAAAATGCCCAAACGGCTACGACTGGCTAAAATGCAAAAACGGCCACTAGTGGGCAAAATGCCAAAACGACCACTAGTGGTCAAAATGCCCCAACGGCCACTAGTGGGCAAAATGCCCAAATGGCCACTACTGGCCAAAATGCCAAAACTGCCACTACTGGAAAAAATGCCAATATGGCCACTAGTGGCCAAAATGCTCAAATGGCCACTACTGGCCTAAATGCCAAAACGGCCACTACTGGTCAAAATGCCCAAATGGCCACTGTGGTCAAAATGCCAAAACTGCCACTAATGGCCAAAATGCCCAAGTGGCCACTAGTGGCCACAACGACAAAATGGCCACTACTAGCCAAAATGCTAGAACAGCCATTAGTGGCCAAATTGCCCAAACAGCCACTACTGGCCAAAATGGCCAAATGGCCACTAGTGGCCAAAATGCCAAAACGGCCGCAACTGGCCAAAATGCCAAAATGGCCACTAGTGGCCACAATTCCCAAACAGGCACTACTGGCCAAAATGCCAAAAGGGCCACTAGTGGGCAAAATGCCAAAATGACCACTAGTGACTAAAATGCCAAAACTCCCTCTAGTGGCCAAATGCCTGAACGGTTTCTTGTGACCAAAATTCCCAAAATAGCCACAAATGGCCTAAAAGCCAAAATGGCCACTAGTGGCCAAAATACCAAAACAGCAACTAGTGGCCAAAATGTCAAAATGGCAATATGGCCACTAGTGAAAAAATTCCCAAATCAGCCACTAGTGGCCAAAATCCCAAAACAGCCAATAGTGGTCAAAATCCCAAAACAACCACTAGTGGCCAGTTTGCCAAAACATCCACTATTGGCGAAAATACCAAACAGCCACTAGTGGCCAAAATGCCAAAACCACCACTAGTGACCAAAATCCCAAAACAGCCACTAGTGGCTGAAGAGCCAAAATGGCCACACGTGGCCAAAATACCAAAACGGCCACCAGTGGTGAAAATGGCAAAACGACCAGTTGTGGCCAAAATCCCAAAATGGCCAGTAGTGGCGAAAATACTCAATAGGGTTGGTCATCAAAGAACTAAAAGCAACGCATAAGAGAAAATGTACAGTGGCCCAGAAGCCTCAACGCAAACAAAAAATATGCTGCAGCAAATAAAAAATATACTGCAGCAAATAAAAAATATACTGGAGCAACTAAAAAATACACTGCAGCAAATAAAAAAATCAAAACGCAAAGAACAAAAGTACTGCAGCAAATAAAAAATGCAACACAAACAAAAAATACTGCAGCAAATAAAATATGTAATGCAAACAAAAAAAAAAAGAAAATGCAAACAAAAAAATTGGAACGCAACGCCAAGGTTTGTTTGCGCTGAGCCTTCTGGGCCACCGTAAAAATGATACTTACTGTTACTCTTATGAGCCAAATCAATGAGTAAGTCCATAGTACAGACCACATGGTGGTAATGACCACACCCAGCAGCTGAACACCCAGTTGAGAACCATTGGAATAGAAAGCACCGTTTGCACTTGTAACATCCTTTGATGATTTTGTAAACAGACCAGCTAAATAAATTCAACATTTGCCATTACCATTATGCAAAGATGGGGAATGAGCAATTTTAGTAGCATTAGTTTATTTACGCGACATTAAATGTATTTTTGAGATGTCTTGCCTGTTACTGCCCCAAGAATGCCAGGAACACCATGAATATAAGTGATATCGTGCACTCCTGTACTGGTCCATAAAGGCTGGTATTTCTGTACACACCATGAAACAACTGATGATATCAGACCTAGAATGAGTCCATTGATCATTGAAGCCCACAGCTCTATCGAACCAGAAGATGCACTAACACCTGAAACACAACAGAAAAAAAAAAAACTCATTACTTCCTGAGAATGGAGAGTCATCTAAAGTTCCTCTCACTCTCAACATCTTATTAGAAATTCTCATTACTGTCTGTGATACAATTCTTATGATACTAGTTTGGAGAATTTGGTATTGAATCAACTAATAATCTCCTAATTGATATTTTTCTTTATTCTCATCACTTGTCTACTGGATATTGTACTGATATTGTAAGGAGAAATTCTGTCTTGGTCACTCTTGGAGGTTAGAGGGTTAACCTCCTTCCAAATAAGAACCATACCTACAAGACCAACTATAATGCCTTGTAAAAGATCTGTCATCCTGTAACTTTTTTTGGTGACATACATCACAATCAACCAGCTCAGTAAAGATGCACAGATAGAGAGGTCACAGTTAATCAATGAAAGGATTGCTGCACCATTGAACTTATGTACCGATCCAACATTTGTGCAATACCTATAATGAAACAAAGGTGTGCAATAAAATAATCAATGTTGGCAACAAATCGACAAAAGAAAAGTCTACAGCTTTTTTATGGGTGATTTCAACCCTAACTATGTGGGATATGTTAAGGCCTCGTGGTTAGAATGCTGGACTCTATTCTGAGAGATCTGGATTGAGACCTACTCTGGTCATAGTATTGGGTTCATGTACGCATGTTAGCCACTTTCCACTTTTATAATGTCTCTCCCAGCACTCAGTAGTTTAAATGGTGAACTGACAAGGATATCTGACAAATTTCTGAGGGAGGGTGTTACTTGAGCTGTACTGGCATCTTGCCCAGGGGTGGGGGAGGAGGGGGTGTCAGTGAGCTACCTGCCAGTTTGATTGTGGAATTAACAGGAGATTTGATATACATGTTGCGTTGCGCCATGAAAAATGGTTCCAACACACAGTGAGGTGTTGGGTAACAGGGTCAAACCAAAGCCACTCCCCCCTCAAAAACCCTCCTTTCAAATCTACACCAAAAAAAAAAAAGTAGTCATCTCAATTGATAGACCTCTCCCAATAAAGGAATTAAAATATTTATTCTAAATTGCAAAGCTGATCAAAATGATAAACAAACAAAAAAACAACACTAAAAGAAACCTTACCATCCTAGAGAAGTGATCAGACCCCCAGCTAGAAGGTATACATTTGGAGGGTGCACCTTTTCTTTCTTGTGCTCTTGTTTGTGTGTTTGGTTTTCATGAACCCCATTAAAGACCTTGGTGAAAACAAGTGCAGAAGAACCTGTCAGAAATAAAAACATCAGATTTTTTTTAATAACCTTTTTGACTCTTGAGAGTGACAAGCATCTAATTTCCCGTCACAATATCACCCCTCAATCACGCAATAAGGTTACTGGAGTAAAGAAAACCATCACAAAAAGAAAAATGCTTTCAATTATTCAACCAATTCTCTCTGGGAGCACCTCAGGCAATCTATAGACAACACAGGGTTCCTCCCTTTTTTCAGAACAAATTTCAAGGACTTTTCCAGGACTCCAAATTTCATGTTAAACACTTTCATTCCCACGATCTCAAATCAATTCTCCTTATGGTCTACATACATTTATTACAACGTTTATTGCTTCATTTAAGCATATTTCCAGGACCTTTCCGGACTTGCAGTCTTTTTCCAGGACTTTTCAGACCTGGTTATTGTCCAAATAAAATCCCAGGACTTTCCACATTTTCCAGGACCGGTACAAACCCTGAGAACAGTATGAGGGTGTAAAGGGCTAACTACCACATGAACTTAGACCAACAGAGATTACCTGTGGAAGCATGTATTGTCAAACTTCCAGACTGATCCACAATTCCAAAGTGGTGCTGGAGCCATCCTTCTCCACGTATCCAGTGAGTTAGAGGATAATATACAAATATTGGCCAAAGGATAAAAATAGTCTAAAACAATTACAAAAATAAATATCTGTGGCTACCATGATTATATCTCTATGTAGACTTGATAATCAATTACTATGTGGCAAAGGAGTGGACAATGTAGATGAAATTACTACCTGACTTAATACTAGTAATAGCAATGATAGTAATAAGAATAAGAATGATAATAATAGTGATGGTATTAATGGTAGAAATAATGCAAACACAAGTGTCTCCCAGTTAACAAATGGTGAACGCCATAGCGTGTACTATTGAGTTATAGATGCACGTGGGAGGTTGCTAAGCACAAAAGAAGCGCAAGAGTCACACGAGGCGATAGCCAAGTGCGACTCTAGCTTCTTGAGTACTTAGCAAACCTCCCAAGTGCATCCATAAGTCAATAGTACACACTATGGCATTCACCATTTATTTTATAACATAACATTGATACATTGGAATAAGAGTTCCCTTTTATTTAACAAATCTTACGTGATCAGAAAAAACAAGCGTGCGCGGAAAAATAGTCTTAGCATTTGCTCACGTCAGCAGCATGCACGCATGGGCAAATGGTAGATGCTGAATTAACCAATCAGAGCACGCTCTTTGCTTTATTTATGTTATAATCTCCTTTGAATAACACATTGTCATTTACTATCGATGAAAAGTGACTTCTTACCAACGCTCCAAGAATGTTCATTTGTTCAGCCCTAAGAAAAAGTTACAAATAAATCTTAAAACAGCATAACATGATTACAATCTAACTATTAGCAAGGCAGACTTTATCAAGTAGGCTAAATTGATAAACAAAAGCTTTCCCTTACCAAGCAGATAAAAGCATAAATGGAGGAATGACAGCCAGCATCATTTCAAAACTTGCAAAAAGAATTCCTGGCACAGAGTCAGCATGAACAGAACAGTTGGAACCAGACACACCCAAAAAGAATGCATCATCAAGGCTTCCAATTAAACCCTGTAAAAAGAAAAGACAAACTCAAATTTTAGGACAAAGGGCAGCAAATTTCCTTCTGTGAGGTAAATGGGTGTGTAGATGGCTTGTCCAGGGGTTCTGCCTTCCACAACTCATCTAGCTCAAATGGGAACAAACCATGCACAAGGTTTTATATACAAATCTGCCAGAAAGAGGGCATAAAAAACCCATTTTTCAGTGACTTCTAGACCGGTGTAATCCAAATTATAATTTTTTTGCTTTGCTTTAGACCCCATCAGCCTTATCAGATCATTTTCAGAAAAATAAATATACAACAATAATTTGAACAGTACAGGTGGAGTGGAAATGCTGTAGCCCAGACTTATGAGCAAAAGGTTTTACCCTAAGCATCCAAGCCCAGGGTAGTTCTTTTGCTGAGTTCTTAGGCAACCCTAACCCATGTGCAACTGTCCCCTTCCCTAAAAATAAAATATCGGAAAGCCCCTTCCCCAATTTTATTTTAGTTAATTTCTTTTAGAGGGTAGGAGGCACCTGTTCACAGGCCAAGGCAACACTTAAAGTTTCCCTCTTCACCCAAGAGCTTGAATGAATATTAACAAACACTGCAGGGGAGGAGAGGGGGAAGAATACCCCTGCTATTAACTAGCTTCAAAACCAGTATAAGCTGCTAAGTGATGATTTAAGCCAACCAATGTTTTAGTTTGCTACCTTTTTATATTAAAAGTAGAAGAAGGATTAGCTGTTCCCAGCTGGTAATTGTCATATCAATTAGCCTATATCCAGTCCCTCTCTACAGACTACACCCCAGTGGTCAATTAGCCTATATCCAGTCCCTCTCTACAGACTATGCCCAGACTGCACCCCTGTGGTCTCTCAAAATTTTACCTCATAAAAGGAAGTGAATGGAGAGAGAACACATCATACCCAAGCTTTTTCTCAGCTCTATCAAGCTGTGAGACCCAAAAAAATACCAAACTAATAAGGTTATATCAACTGTCTTTCATTTTCTACCTTAGATGACAAAAACAGGCCTTTCCTTAATGTCTAAATATTTTTGGAATATTAAGAATTTCCTGCAATATATAAAATCATTAACATAAGATATCTGAAGTAGATAGTTTCGAGAAATTTAGAGTGGCTTACAGCTTTTACTGAACCCTGAGTTTTTTCTAAATTTCATTAAATTCTAGCCCAAAAATGTTCAGGTTTGGATTCTTTCCACCTTATGACTAGACAGTAACCTTTTCCCACATTATTATTGGATGTTGATTATACTTGACATTGGCAACCTTGAAAGTTTTTTTTTTTTTTCTCTTAACTAATTACCAAAATGCTTAAAGTGCTGAAAGGTTAAATTCTATGGCCTAGGTCACCAAAAGTTGCTCAACGCATCAAAACTAAATTAGAGCTGTTTTTTTTTTGGAGATATTTCCATAAGTTTCAGTCGATGACACGCAAATGCCATCATGCTTTTTCATGATATTTGTGGTATAGACTAAACACGCACTATAAATGGGTCTCATTAGAGTCTTACCTTCTGTGAGGGACCAAAAGAGAGGGAATAACCAACAAAATACCAAAGTATAGAGCCAACAGTGAAGTTGATAAGGGCGTAAACAAAAAGTGCATGTACATTCGAAGAATTAAATGGTCTGGTGCTAGCCTGATAAAGCGTGAAGCTAAATCCCTGCAAAGGAATTCAAAAAATAATCATTTGACCAAAATTACGACCATGAAAAATGTAGGTTGAGTGTTATCTAAATTCATAATGATCCGGTTGAGGGGTCCATTTAGTGGAGCAAAGAGGTGATAAAAAAAAAGAGGAGTTTGTGTATGCAGGAGAAATTTAAACGCAATAACAAGCCAATAATGCTTCCAGAGCGGTGAAGTGTTAAATTAGTAGACTGTCGCTGTAATCTTTTGGAGTTTAAATTCCAACGTTTAACGCAATTTAAAAGGTATCACAACATTGCTTTTCTACTGATTCAACGTTTTACTAAATCTTTGAGTTAGGTCTTAGCATAAGACTATTCTTGAAAGCATAATGAGATCTGCACTTATATCAAATATTCTGAAGTTATTGTCGGCAAGAAAAATCCGGAAGTTTCATTTGCCCGCTTTATACTTATGTCTTCCGTGGCATTGTCTAACAATTTCGAATCGAATCGAATCGAATTTCCATGTGGTAAAAACATCGATTGCAAATGATGTGTCAACGAACCCCAAACCACAACAATGCTAATTCGTAAGTGCAAAATGACTAGTAACCTATCGACTTCCTCGTTGGTTTAGCCCACAGGCTGAATTTAGCAATATTACAATGCATATTTGACGCATAGAATGTAAGCAAACTTTTCGCGTGACAATACCAAAGTTTCAGCCATTTCACTTTTCCCAAGAGACTACTTCCAATATCGTCGATATGGTTACACGCCTTTTGAAACGGAAATGAATTTATCGTCGTTAATACCTCGGCTAGTTATAAAAATAGAGCAAGTATTAAGCTAGTATTAAATTGCCCACCTGCAATGCAACCAAAAGGGTGATAATCGACAGCCAAGCTGCATCCACCGCATTCCAGCATTCCATTGATCATCAATACGTCTTTAAAAACTGCCAGCATTAGAGAAATCCGTAATACTTCATTGCGAAGTAAGAAATTCCACGTATTTCCCGATGGTTTATTTAATAGTTCTCGAGCGTTTAAGTACTTTCTTCGTTCACGAACTGATCAAACTGCTAATTGATCTGTTATTTCGTCCAATCGCTGCTTTGACAACTGAACAATTCTCGTAATAGGTTTGTTTATTAAACACCCAAAAAAGGCAACTGGTAAACGGTGACGCCAAAAGCGGGAAAGACAAACTTGTCCTTGAAAAGAAGGTCATCTTGAGGCAGTAACATCCCGAAAAAATCTTGAATATTTTTCATCTCTCTACACTTCTCTTTAAAAACCTGTAATCAATCGACTACATGCGAGTTCTTTGAGTTCCAACACCTCCGGCTGAATAGGCGAAATGAGCACATATCGCCATGTGACTATCAAGCCGCTGTTCGTGATGGGAGCCCGCGTTCTCGAGAATGGGTGCAGGAACTGCTCCTGAAGGGCGGTACTCCCCAAAGTATTGGACTGTAAGTTCAAACGATGTGATTTGCCACCCCTCAAGTTTGTTTTGTTTTGTTTTGTTTTGCTTTTCAAATAAATCCATGGACTATTTTCATACTAGTAGGATTTGTTTCATACTAAAGAATGGAACTAGTCAATTGCAACTCAACGCAGGCGGAGCTGCATTCGTATTCTTTGATGTTATGATGCACGATCCTCTCTACTGCGAGGATCGTGCATCATACGTATCTTTGATGTTGTTTGCTAGGTTCCTAGCTGCGCAGGCAAGAACTGTACATCCAGATAAACATTTCAATTATGGCTGGTTCCTGGCGGTGTGTTTATTTCAGAGTCTACCACTGAGCACTTGTCTAGGATTCGAATCTAAAGGATTCGAATCTGAAAACGGTCCATAGGAGAGACAACCCAACAGTCAGTGTAAAAAAGAGAAAGTAATAAAAGGACACTGTTTTTGTTTCGTTTAGCAAATAGGTGTTGCCTGTCGATGACAGATTTATTTTGATTACAATTAACATTAATTCCGGACAATGATTTAAAAGTGTTGGCTTATTATGTTTTAACCCAGTTTTTCAGAAGGAATCGAAAAGAGAGAGAAGTTGTTTTCATGAGTCTGTTTAAAAATCCGCTGACCTGAATCTGCTAACCAAAAGAGTGAGACCTTGTAGCCACGAGAGTTATTTTTTTTATCAGTTCTGTCGTTCGTCTTTGTTAATTGTAATTAGTGTAAATAGTTCTCGTCTCGATAGTTCAGTTCTGTATTTATTAGTTTGTATTTTTTCGTGCTGTCAAATTGTAAATTAAGTTTGTCAGCGTTGTTTCATGTAATCGCCTTTGAGTATTGTGTAGCCTTGTTTAGTCTATTGTTTTAGCCTTTATCCGCTATATAACATCGTAGTTGTAGTTTTCATTCAGTCGTTGTTATTCCGGAGTGCCGTACAGATCTTGTAAGTAGTTACGCTTTCGTTTGTATTTTCCTGTAATTTCTCGTATTTCTTTCGTTGTATTTTAGTTTCGTTGGGTTTAAGTTCGCATTGTTAATTCTGTATTTTTTTGTGTTATGTTCAAGTGAATCGTCGAGATTGAAAATAGGGTACGTATTTCAAACTGTAACGGAGTGTCAGTTACAGACCTGTTTTAACAACCGCCACAAAAGTAAGTTTCCAATCACGTTTTCTGAATTTGCTGATTTCGAATTTTAAATGTATGTCTTTTAGATCGAATAATTATTAAAGAAGAAGAAAAAGAAAAAGAACCTTTTATACCGCTCAGGGAAGCCCCTTCAGATGCAAAAAGGTGTCTGTTATCAATGGGAGCCCTGAGCACAACAATGTACTAAAACTATAGTATACATATGCATTACACTTACAAAAACAACAACATTGACTTTATTTTTTAAAATGAAAGAAATAAAGGCTTTTGTAGCTCGCAGTTAGCAAAGCTATTCTAGGCTATTCTACACTGATACTGATAATAATATAAATAGAAAACTATGTACAAATAAAAGATTTAGAAGTAAATGAATACGAAATACCATCAAGATAGTTCGTTAAAAAGAGTGCAACCATAGTAATAGAGAGATCGTTTTGCGATCTCAGTCCTCACAGTAGGCGGATGTAAAAGGTTGCTTTGTCTAACGGCGCTCGCGTAGATTGTATTATTACGTTTAAAATATTCTTTAAAATATTGAGGACATTGTCCTTGCAAGGATTTCTTAACGAGTTTAAAAACAATATTACGACGGCGCTCCTCCAGCGTCGGCCATTTCAGAACGTCCATCGCCGGGTTTCTGCGCACAGTTCTTGCAACTATTCTGGCAGCCCGGTTCTGGATAGTCTCCTCGAAGCCGTTTTTTTTGGATGTCACGCAACGCTTCCCTTAAAAGAACTTCTTTTGGGGGAGCGTTGTGTGACATCCAAAAAAAACGGCTCCGAGGGAGACTAGGTTTTTCGAGGGCTTCGAGGCCTTGTTTGTGACCTTCCCGGCAGGAGCCCCACACACTTGCACAGTATTCTAAAATTGGCCTAGTTAGACTGCAATAAACTATATTTGCGCGAAATAAGCTGCTTTATTTGCTCGTTCCAACTAAGGCGGTCATCAATAACTATACCGAGATAAGTGAAGTGAAAAACTCGCTTAATAACATTGTTATTTAAAGTAATAGAAAAAGAGTTTACTGTAGATAATCTAAGGGCAGTTCCGAAAAGCATAGCTTCAGTTTTTGTTACGTTGATAAACTGACTATTTAAAAAAGGCCAGTGTTCAATTTTAGACAGATCAGCAATCAGCTGGTCTTGAATGACAGAGACTTTGAAGGATGAGCAGTAAAGCTTGGATTATTATTATACGGTTTGTGGTGGTCGTCTGAGCTAACCAGTTCCGAGTAAACAAATTTTTCTTAGTGAAACGAATAATTCTGGACATGCTGGAGTAAGTCATTGTGCTCTGGTGTAATGAGCCGAAATATCAAGCAAGAAATAGAGTGTTTTCGTCAGTCAAAAACTGCTCACGATCAGCGTAGATGTAAAATTTCTGGCAGCGAGATACGAAAAGACATCTTGCAACAATTAACGCGCTAATGGCCGGCGTTGTCTGCGATGGGATAGTGGTGTAACTGAAAAAATAAGATGGAAAAAAATAAGGGAACCATTAACCGTACCACGTTTTGATGGCTTTGGTTAACCATGACCTCAGAGTCTTTTAATCTTAATTGCAAGCGAGTTAAAATTTTGGTTCTGCCCAAGGAAAGTAATGGGTGTAGGTTTATAAAACAATATCGTGTGCGAAAGCCCGTTTACTCAAAGGGTAAAAAAATCCTGATGATGGGGGGTCACGTTGATGGTTGACGGTTAAAAATAAGCTCTTTTGACGTTTGAAGGTTAAATTTTAGGTCATTTGACGGTTGACGGCTAATTTTTTGGAATTTCGTTTATGAAACGAACTAAACGCGCAAATTTGGCTGCAATTTTTTGTAATGACGCATTTGTAAAGAATTATTAATTTCAAGAGTTCATTTATAACACCTTTTATTGATAAATGACCAACGTTTTATGACACCGGAAGTGTTTTCACACAGGAAGTCAGTTGTGTTGTTAACTGGCAGGTTTACTCGCGACTAGAAATTAAAGGACTTACATAACTGTATTTTTATGATATATCGAGCCTTTTATCTATAAACAACAGAACTTGACTCCAATTAAGGCAATCTTTCAGCTCTTAATTAAGGATATATGAGACATTGGATGGCTAACATTGGCTTGGTTATTTGACGGTTGACGGTATAATTATTGCGTTTTTGACGGTTTTAACACCAAATTCTACAACCTCACATCATTCGAATTGTATCGCAGATAGAAAGGAGAATTTCTAAGAGATTTTGGGAGCGAAAAGGTTAATAATTTTTCTCACCTGAAATGTTAATGAAAAGAAAAAAGTGGAAGGGCTTTTAAGGAGATTAAAGAATATATTTAGTCTTGTAGTTGTAGCAGCATATTTTATAACTGTTTCCCTGTGAATGTCACGAGGAAAGGATCGAGATGAACTTACCAGTGAAGACTTATAATCATCTATACACAACGCAAGGAAACTGTTGTTTTTCTAGTATTGTACTGTGTAATCAAGTTTGCGCTCTAACTGCGGAATCTTCAAAATGTCAAATTATTTGCAATTTGGATTGAGACTTTTACATTCCTTGCAATTTAGAAGGTACAAGAAAGTAAAAGGATAGTCTGATCGGATAATTAGTTGGAATGAATGGCATTTAATTGATGCAAAGGTGACCCGGTACGGAAATTGAAATCATTTCATATATTCGAAAAAAATTGAAGATCGTGCATTTCAAACATGCTCTGTCGATTAAAGGGCCAACTTCTTGAGCTATGTCGCGCGGCTTAGACTGTTCACGTTTGTCGTTTACAGTCTCTTTCTTGCTTTGCTTGCTTTGAAAACCTTAGCCATCTTTCCCATGTTTTGGTTTATCCTCATCTCTTTGGAGTTTTATATATCCTGAAAAACGATTTATTTTCTTCAGTTTAACTCCTGCAACCAACCAATAACTCCCCCTTCTATTTTCTGTGCGATTCCTTGTCATTGGTTGAGAGAATTTGGCGTTACGTCAAAACGACGTCTTCCAGTCGATAAGTTTTTGCTTTGTAGAACCGTGTTTGTTGAATTATGTATTAAAATTTTTAGAGAGAAGTTACATCTTTTCTGGGAGTTAAAAGATTTAGGACAACTCTTTTTGTGTGTGTGTGTGTGTCGCAAAAACGACACAATCTCGACAGTTTGAGATGATGACAAAAAATCGAGAAATTAATGTACAAAATTGATTCAAGATCAGTGTTTTGTTGTTTTTTTTGTTTTTTGTTTTTTTTGTTTTTGTTTTTTTGCAAAGACGGCGCGCGATACTTACAACTGGTCGACTGTGAAATGGCTCATTAGGAACATATGAATTTTAATTAAAAAATTATTCTATCTTTGGTTGTTTCCCATCGATCCTTTCTTTAACCTTTCCCGCATGTTTGCGTGTCATCACAGGCGTGAAGCAAGATCGTGCGATGTCCTCTTCTTAAGTGGGACCCAAAGCCTCTTGTCTGCAATAATGGAGAATCGATTTTATCCCTTCTGTATTTCTGGGCACTTAGAATTGTGTTGCGTGTGGGTTAAGGAAACTGCTCGTCGTAGCTTATCGCCTGCCATAATCTGAACAATAACAAATTATTATTCTTGAGTCGGTCCACGCCTAATTAGATTATGGGTCTCACACGGCGAATGGGTAACAGGTCATTACGAAACAATAATATGTTTTTATTGCTTCTTGTAAAAGGTGTGTGTCAGATTGAGATAACATCGATCACTAGCGTGCGAATGATTTACACATTTGAAGTGATATTGCCAGCCATTACATCCTTCATAAGATTCCTAGGGCATCGTTTCATGTCAGGTTCGTTAAATGTTTAAATTGTTCTTTCAAAAACAATAGACGGGATTAAGGCAGTCCAATTAGTGAGCGACGTAAGTATAAACAAACAGATGAGTTATATTGAGTTTGACGCGCAAACTATCATTTTGCTTCGTGGTTCGTCGCCATTTCATTTCGTCCTACTTTTTCAGCTTCAAAGTGTTAACATTTTTTACAGAGACGGGATGTGAAAAGAGTGCCCTGGCATGTTAAGAACATAATTAATTGCGACTCAACCTTTATACACAAGAAATTACGACGGTTTTATGACTGTGTCTGTCACGAAGCGGCCAATGATAAGAGAAAACATTTGATGTCAATCGTTTCCGGGCAGGCTCGCGCTCGATCGCAACCGCAAAGTTTAAAACGTACGTTAGCCAATATTTTCTTGATCATTACGATGATGAAGATGGCCATATTTTACAATTCGTTTCACGTTACGAAACATGTTTTGATGATGACGAACAATTAACAAAGGACATATCTAGCTTCACGCTGGTGTTGACATTGATGCAAAGACTTAGTGCAAATATAATTATCTTGTTCGCGTTCATCCTCCTAGTTTTCCAAAGAGTTTACAATCGATTATCGCTTTAAGATCAGCTTTTCTTAAAGGCGATTCACTGTTGGATATGGCAAGGAGTTCTTTTCCTCTATGGTTATTTTTTAACCTGCAACTTTGCGTGCAGTTCACGAACGTTTCGACATCTAGTGGTCATGATCAGAAATGGATGTTATTAAGTCAAAACCATCGATATGTGTTACCTCGCGTGAGATACATCACTGAGGACAACGGAGTATGGAAAAGTAGAGGTTTAAGCGGCGGACAAAGAATGGTGAGTGATCTTTCGCCGTTTTAGGGTCTTTTTAGGAACATTAATTTGTTTATTACTGCACGATTTAATGCATGTTATGAACGTCGAATAGCATAACTTGTACATTATTGAAGCAGACATTGTAGTTAAGAAGGGGCTTCAGGAAAACCGCTAACCCTGGTGAATAAGATTACAACCCCGGCGCCATCGCCACGTGATTTTTAACAGTCTGCTGGAGAATATTCAAGGAAAATTTATGTACAGAATCCTCGTATTCGCGCGTTATGTAAAAACTCACTCGCGTTCGTGATTTCAAGGAGGTCTCCGGATCAGATATTCCCTCGTCGGAACCTATATGAAATCAATCGGTTTACCAGCAGAAAGTTGTCTATATTCGTTAAGGTTTATTTTCGTAAAGCTTAGCTCATGTGGCTTGCCGTAGGGGGAAGATGTTAACTTGAAAATTGTTAAAATTAAACTGGACGTTGACTACGATAATATTCACGGTGGACTCGCCGTAAATGTGGGGGACATTTATAGCGGAGAGATTATGTTTTGGTCTGGCAGCTGTATCATGCGGTTTTTATTGTTTTTGTTTTGAGAGCTTGAGTAGCGCTAAAGTGCGCTTTTGAGAAAAAGTACTGAAGTGCGAAAAAACGCGACAGGCATGTGAGCAACATTCAATATTTTTTAATTTAACGGAAGACATCGCCAGACTAAGACGTCAAGTACTTGGCAGAGCACATGTTGACAGCACTATATTTGTCATCAACTTGAAGTTGCTGATAGAATGTGAAGCTTCTGTTTGCCTTGTTTACCCTTTGGCTTTCATATCTGCCAACAGTTTCACTATTGCTAAAATCCTAAAAGTTAACATTCCGGGACAGCCGCGTTTTCAATGACTTTCACCTCAAAATGTCAATTAATTGGCGCACGTGGCGTTCCATCATCTCTACCGTCCTCCAGGCTTTCCTCGTGAGTAAGAGAAAGTAAAGTACGTGAGAGTATTTTCTATCATAAAGTGCATGTGTCGCGTTATTATAATCCTGTTTTCATAGCGATTTTTTTTTTACATTGTCAAATTCTTTTGGAGTCAAAGGTCTCATCGTTTCCAAAGACGCCCGAAGTTTCCGAACACAAATTTTCGAAAGAGTTCGGAGAGTTCAGGTACAACCTTCGCCCCTTCTCTGAAATCAGACGGGTTTCGGGAAAAGTAGGACTATGCACAAAGCCCTTTCCTCTCTCGGATTCATTACGAGCTTCTTTCGCTTTACAGGATTTAGAGAATAGTTAGTCGTGACATCCAAGTCAGAACCTCCATCCGAACCCAGCGATTAATTAGATTTAATCTTCATAAAGGGCAAGTTATTTTAATCCCTCTTCAGATCTTACTATACCGAATCAATGCATGTTAGCAGACAAGTAAAGATGAACACAGTTAAACAGATCAACGGAGAAGGAATGTCTTTTATCATGTTTGAAGTTATTCATTGTATAGATATGAGAAAGACTGAGTTGCCAAATCTTGATTGCGCACATATTTAGCAGATTTTTAAAGGGTTCTCAGTTGTATTTTAGCCTTCTGCTATGTATTGATGGTTTTCCGTTACGTTGTAGCATCTTGAGATAACATCTGCTAAAAATATTACAACCTTCAAGTGTTTTTACTACATTTATAAACCACGGGGTGAAAAGGCCTGAAATAATAGTAATAAAAAAAAAAACAAAACGAGAAGAAAAACAACTAATCCTCTCCAACATCTTTGATTTACAGGCAGGAAAGAGAGGCATTAAAGTAGAAATAACATTTGCAGTTTTTCAACAAAACTTCACACTCGACCTGTATCAGAATCGTGGTCTGTTTACCTCGCAATACCTCGAAAGACACGAACATTTCAATGGCTCTGGAAACAACGCCAGAAAACTTGATCATTGTTTCTTTCACGGACACGTCAGGGGTAGGGTAAGGTCGAGTGTGTCCCTGAGCACTTGTGAAGGATTAGAAGGGCTGATTTACGACGGTACTACATCTTACTACATAGAACCTATGGACAAAGCCTTTCATTTGTTCTACAAAATAAAAGATCTCGACTCGTTTGAATATGATTCGCCTGGACAAAGGATGAATCAGGACAGGGATATTCACACGGTAACACAAGAAAGACTAGTTTCAAAAAGAAGTATTGGCAACGTAAAAACCCGAAGAAGAATTCGTAACAATGTCTTCACCGAAACTAAATACGTTGAACTGCTTATAATTAACGATCACAAGCAATTTGAGGCTTGTGGAAAAAATCTGACGAAGACAAATCTACGAGCTAAACAAATCGCAAATATAGTGGACGCTATTTTCAAACCGCTAAATGTTCGCGTAGCATTGGTCGCCGTAGAAACGTGGAACGTGTTGGACAAAGTCAAAGCGGACGCTAATGCTGATACTTACTTGTCAAATTTAGTAAAATACAGAAAAAGGGGACTGCGAAAGTATCCGAGCGACGTAACGAAACTTTTGACGGGAATCTCACTGAAAGATTCCGTCCGGGGTAAGGCTCACGTCATGACGATTTGTACAGAACAATCGGCAGGCGTGGTCCAAGATTACAGCCGAAATGCTGCTTTTACTGCCAGTACATTTGCCCATGAATTAGGTCACGTGTTCGGCATGTATCACGACGAGGACCTACCTCGTTGCGTATGTAAATCACCTGACTCGCGCGGTTGCGTTATGAGCGAGCATGTCGGCCGCGAACCAGCCACTAGCTTCAGTAACTGCAGTCTTAAAGGACTTGAAGAGACACTATCACGGGGCTTAGGATCATGCCTTCTTAATGTCCCAAGAACGCTGTACGGAGGCCCGGTTTGTGGAGACGGGATAGTTGGAGGAGACGAAGAGTGTGACTGTGGAACCACTCAGGAATGCACCGCTAAAGAAAACGCTTGTTGTGATCATGTAAATTGCAAGCTGCGCGCGCATGCGCAGTGCGCCGATGGTCCTTGCTGCGAGAGGTGTAGGTTTAAAAAGAGCAGAACTGTTTGCAGGGAGACTGTGAACGAATGTGACATCCCAGAATTCTGTACTGGATCTTCTGGGAGTTGTCCTGAGGACGTCTACATTCATGATGGTTACTCTTGCGCGAACAACACGGCCTATTGTTACTCTGGGGAATGTTTAACCCACGACAGGCAATGTCAGGACCTGTGGGGCCGTGATGCCGTATCTGGTCCAGATAAGTGTTATAATTACCACAACACGCGTGGCAACAAGTATGGGTTTTGCCATAAGACGAAGAAGGGTAAACATCGACCTTGCAAACTAAAGAACGCAAAATGCGGTAAACTCTGGTGCCTTGCTCGCAACCGGTGGCCTGTCATAGGAATACAGAGTGATGTAATGGGTTCCCAGTGGCCATTTCAAAGTAAAACAGTCACGTGTAAGGGAACTAATTTACAAATGGGCATGGATGTATCGGAGGCTGCGATGACCCTTGACGGAACAAAATGCGCTGACGGAAAAGTGTGCCTGGACAGAAAATGTGTGCCTGTTAAAACACTACACGGAAATGTGCCTTTGTGTCATAGAAACTGCTCTAGTAATGGTATATGTACGAACATCGGTACTTGCTATTGTTTTAAACCTTGGACTGGGACTTCTTGTGGCACCAAGCTCCCAGATATTAAACCAACGACTATCACAAGTAAACCCATCAAAACAATGCTGCAAAGTACTTCTGCCAAAACGTATTTGATTACGACGAAACCGCGAACAGTTGCGACGATGGAACCGATTACAACTGCAAGCCCGACTGGGTTGCAAGTAGCAGAATCCACACAGGTTTACATCACAGTTTTTGCAAGTTTTTTCGCTCTCGTCGTTGTCCTTGTTGCAGGACATTGCAGTTATAAACGACGGTATAAGCATCGGCAATTTGTTGTGCAGAATAAGAATATGAAACAAAGGGTTGAACCGCGATTTAAAGTCATCGTTATTTAAGAAAAATTTTGAATTAAGTATTTATATAAGCGAGGTCTTAAAAGAACATATTGTATAAAGAGCGACTGTACATATATTTGTTTCATATTAAATAATTGCCGAAGTTTTCACGTCCATGGGGTATTTTTCACATAACGCGCTATCATCTTTCCTTCCACGAGGCTATTTTCTTTTCCGTCCACATTTTGAACGTAAAGGACAAGGTTTGGTAGAAAGATTTTATTTTAATTTAATTTGCGGAGCAGGACCTTCGGATAAATCAGTGTCGCCGGATTTGGGACAATGCGCTTGCAGTGAGCAGTCACGTGGGATCTTGGCCACGCATTTCCCCGCCATGGAGCTACACCCCTTTTCCTGCCAATAACATTGGCATCGCCTTCCATCTGTCACTCAGCGAAGAATTAGTAGAACACTTTGACAACGGCATTCTTACAAAGAGAACCCTGACGAATGATAAGTGAAAATCAATCCTTTCACCATATTTTCTGTTATTGACTTCCGTCTCTGGACTTATCTCGGTTTCCGTATCATGAAGCGAGTGGGATTATACCTACTAACTCCCCCTGTCTGGAATGGGAGCTAATCCATCGCTGATTATTCCCCCTTCCCGCCCCGCTTCTTATCAGGTTCCATGCGGCCTGTTTCTCGAAAGTCCCGGTCACTGAACGGACCCTTAAAGCTGTTCTGGTTACATTCAAGATGGGGATTTCAAAAGTTTTGAAAATCATACAATAGAACTGTCAGCTTAAGAAACAAAAACGCACTAATTTGTGTGCTAGAACCTGCTTTTCTATCCTTTAAATTTTGATTTGAAAACTTGGCTTCGGGCCCGTTAAGTTACCGGGACTTTCGAGAAACGGACCCCTGGACAGGTTGTCAGTACCCCTCAATCTAGTACCCAGATCTTACTGTGTAACTACAACTGAGCCGCTTGACCGTGGTGGGGAGCGGAAGACATTGTGGGGGTAAAGTTTGTCCACAAAGCTAACATCATTGACCACTTTCATAACTGGCTGCCAGATTAATATTCTTTTGTTTAAATTTAAATTAGCCCCTTTGGCCTCGCTTGAGATAATGTATTCTTTTGAATTTTGTACTGGATAACGAGGCCAGAAGGGCTAATTTAAATTTAAACAAAAGAATATTAATCCGGCAGCCATTTATGAAAGTGGTCTATAATGACCAGGCTTCGGATTGAAAACGACGACTCGATCTAAAGTCCACGCGCTAGATTCCAGACCACAACATTTCCCAGTGGCCCGCCAGGAAGGAGGCCAGTAAGGCGTCAAGTCACACAGCAAAAGAAACAAGATGAAAAGATCAGAACACTTTAATGATTACGGTTTTGTATTAGCTGGTTACAATTTGTGATCGTACTGAATATATGATCTAACGCGCCGGCGTGTTACTGTGAAACCGAATGAAAACCACACAAGCACACGCGCCCTGCACGTCATCAAAGAAAATAAGACTAGCAAAAATACAAATAATCCCGCCTAACAAAAGCCTACACGAAATTACAAAGTCATATGTTTGACATTGACTGATAAAATATTCAAAGTATAGGTTTAAAAGAAAAACGCCAAAAAAGGCCACACAAAATAATTGAACACAAATTTGTAATCGTGCTGAATGTATGATCTAACGCGCCGGCGTGGTACTGTAAAACCGAATGAAAATCACCCAAGCACACGCGCCCTGCACGTCATCAAAGAAATTACGACCAGCTAAAAATACAAACAATCACGCCTAACAAAAGCCTACACGAAAATACAAAGTCCTATGCTTCGCACTGACTGATGAAAGATTCAAAGTATAAGTTTAAAAGAAAAACGCCAAAAAAGGCTACACAAGATAATTGAACATGCATATCTTCGTTGATGTTCTCCAGAAGTACTCCACTCTACTTGCCGACGCAGTTAAGCTCACGAGCCATCTGACACAGGGCACAAGTAGGGCAACACATGATAGTGAGTGCATCGTTGCAAAGGGATCCCTGCCGCAAAGAAAAAAACATCTTAATTTAGATGAGTAATAACTTTGGATGCTTAATTGGAAACAATAAAAAAGGGAGCTTCATATAAATAATTTTAAGTCAAATGTTAAGCAAAGTCAGTTTACAAAGAAAAACACTAAGAGGTAATAGGGAACTTTATCTTTGAGTTCAAGTTTTGGGCGATTTACAAAAACATATTTACCACGTAAACTTTCATCTTACACTTTTTGACCAAAAACTTTTTCACTCTTATTGTTATTGGACTTAACTGAGACCTTTCCTCTATGGAAAACGATAACACTTGTGTCTTTACCACAACGCAATTTTCCTTGAATGAGGAAGACAATTGTGTCGTGCTTAATAATAATAATAATAATAATAATAATAATAATAATATTAATAATAATAATAATAATAATAATAATAATAATAATATTAATAATAATAATAATAATAATAATAATAATAATAATATTAATAATAATAATAATAATAATAATAATAATAATAATAATAATAATAATNCCACAGGGTGTTGGTTAGTGCAAATTAGGCATTTGAAAAATTTATCCGTTGTTGTTTTAAGTTGCGCAAACTATGAGGTCATTCCTTTACTTTTAAACTTAATTGAATGTTTCATGGTACTTCGGGCGATAAAGCTCATTTTAGGACAGAAAAAGAGCAAAAGATCTGCAAAGGGCATAGCCCATCATACATCACTGCAGATGTGCGACAAAGAAAAGTGTAGAGTTTGAATATTTGTTTATTTAAAAGAAGTTTTATAAGGGTCAAACCTGGAAAACCACAACTTTCGCTGAAATGTTTGTTAAAGCCAACGTTCAACAGCTTTATATTTAAAGGCTGATAGTTTCGAAAGAAACTGTTTGGGGCTGCTTCGGTGGGAGTAACGAAATAATTTGGATATATCAACAAAGTTGAAATGGTAAATTGGCCACCGTAACGATTACAAAAGATGACGTTTCAAGCGTTAGCCCTTCGTCGGAGCGAATAGAATGCTGTGGATTGAAAAATGCTAAGACAGAAGCTAGTAGTCGCAGCAATCAAAATACTCCGACGAAAATCGCTCCGACGAAGGGCTAACGCTCGAAACGTCAGCTTTCGTAATCGTTACGGTGGCCAATTTACCATTTCAACTTTGTTGATATATCCAAATTATATAGCTTTATATTTATACTACTTGTTCTCCAGAGGCTACTGTGCCTAGTTAAGTTACTCGTGGCGGTAGTAAGACTACTACCCAGGTAGCACGCTCACAATTTTCACACCCACCTTTTCCCGGCAGCGGTCCAAAAAAAGCTCACATATGGAAATAGAACCATTTTTGCGTATCTCGGAACACAAGAAACGCTTCTAGTAATCATTGCACCAGCTGACACAGCAGACTCAAGTGCGAGTCGGTATACCTACATCAAATACTTGCATTTTGGAAACAGTGGCTTTGAAAAATCAACTCAACTAGTTAGTCATTTAGTATTCTTGCCCAAGAAGGTAGCCAAGTAGTGAACTATCCCCCTCAAATATGGTCGGGTCCAAAGCCATCGATGCATTATATGGCGAGATATTATAGAGCGTGGCTGATGCGTAATGAAAAATTTAACATAATAATGTTGTCTGGTCAGACCAGAATGTCCACGCCCATCGGGAAAAGATTGACATCTAGATTTAGCCAGAAAAAAGAAAGTAAACAAACCCATGTTGTGCCTATCTCCTTAAATACTTCCTTCCATGCGAATAAATTTGAGAAGTGAATAACTACTTCTTATAGGAGTCCAAAGCCAACCAATGCATCATATGGCGATATATTATTGAGCATGGTTTGATATATCAAAAGGAACTCCGCGCCTCGAACTAGAGCCTCTCGTTCACCCCAAACCAAGCTTTGTCATGGAATGTATGTCAGCAGGAGGAGAGAATATGGCTGCTCGGCTAAGAACTAGGTCAACTTCGTCTTTTGGCCCGGAAAAACCGAGACTAGCGGAATTGCTCTCAATCCGCCTTGAACAGGCAAGAAGAGGTATAATTACTGTTTCCCCTTTTCTGGATCGTCTATCGAAGTCAGTGTACTCTTACTATAGTTTTGAACGAGCAACAGATATCCTTATGAGGAGAACGACACGCAATGCTGTTGCAGAGTTCATATCTTTTCTCTGCAATTCACTTTATTGGTAAACGAAAATGCCAGTTTCAAGGTAATTTCTGTAATTAATCAAACATTAAAATAGTAAGGAAGAGGAAAGAAATACGATTCAATTTTTCAGCGTCTTAAAAAATACTTGCAAATGATTTAAAATTCTTACCTCTACTCGAGACAATTGTCATCTCGACCGGTTCCTTCTTACACAAAGTAAGCACCAAGTGNTCCTATGCTTCGCACTGACTGATGAAAGATTCAAAGTATAAGTTTAAAAGAAAAACGCCAAAAAAGGCTACACGAGATAATTGAACATGCATATCTTCGTTGATGTTCTCCAGAAGTACTCCACTCTACTTGCCGACGGAGTTAAGCTCACGAGCCATCTGACACAGGGCACAACTAAAGCAACACATGATAGTGAGTGCATCGTTGCAAAGGGATCCCTGCCGCAAAGAAAAAAACATCTTAATTTAGATGAGTAATAACTTTGGATGCTTAATTGGAAACAATAAAAAAGGGAGCTTCATATAAATAATTTGAAGTCAAATGTTAAGCAAAGTCAGTTTACAAAGAAAAACACTAAGAGGTAATAGGGAACTTTATCTTTGAGTTCAAGTTTTGGGCGATTTACAAAAACATATTTACCACGTAAACTTTCATCTTACACTTTTTGACCAAAAACTTTTTCACTCTTATTGTTACTGGACTTAACTGAGACCTTTCCCCTATGGAAAACGATAACACTTGTGTCTTTACCACAACGCAATTTTCCTTGAATGAGGAAGACAATTGTGTCGTGCTTAATAATAATAATAATAATAATAATAATAATAATAATAATAATAATAATAATAATATTAATAATAATAATATTCATAATAATATTAATAATAATAATAATAATAACAATAATAATAGAGGTCCTCGTGCTTACTAGAAACACAACTCTTTGTCCGGCGTTCTTGGCTTAAAATCAGTCGGATCTCTAATTGTTTGCCCTAAAGGACAAGCAGCAGTAGAAGGGAAACATTGGCGCAGAAGGCAGATTTCGCTGAAAAGGGGGAACTGCTAGTGGTCGATAGCGGGAGAAATTTAACCCTTTGACTCTCGACAGCAAATTGTTAATACCCTCCTCTAGCTGCTACACATCTCCTTATCCATTAGTAATGAGAAATTAGTTTTAGACCAGAAAACAACTTCTAACTGATAACTTTGAGTATTCTCATTACCCGTTTGCTGGATAATGTATAGGCACTCATTGTAGGGAAAAGTTAAAAAGAGTTGATGCGTTTGAGGACCCACCTGGATGTGCTGCTCGGTTCGTAGTTTGGCCCTCAGAGTGAATGGAGCAATCTCGGAGCAGCAATAGGCATACAGGCACCCCTCACCCATACGAGATGAGATGCTGTACAACAAAAAGCAGGGGCAGCACCAGCCGGTCAGGCCTGTACACAGATTAAAAACAAAACAAACAAACACGTTAAATTTGTCAATCTCTAATCGTTTGGTCTGATCCTCCGCACGATGGAAGCCCTGGAAAACTTTGGTGATTCAGTCATCATCGGAGTCAAGTATGAAATTGTTTGGCTTTGAAAGCCAGTTCGTGAGGACCGATAGGTCATTTTTTTTCGCAAGTCAACTGTGATCGGAGTTTCCATGGTTACCAGTCGTTTCGTGCCCACGGAAGTTTGGTACTCAGTTGATTCGTACCCAGCTAAGACCGTTTGCATCAATTTAGTTGAGTCGTTTTGTACCCACATCAATAAGGTACGTTTCCGTGTTAGGTACGCTTAAATGTCGGTTTATTATGATAAATAGGAAAAATATATGCGTGAGGTGTTCCGTGAAATCTCCTGGTTTTACATCATCACTGAATGTTGGGACGGGCACGAAGTACCAACCGACCAGCAGGTTGGGTACAAACCGACACAAAATGACTACGAAACGTCCGAGGGTACGAAACGACAACATATCCGTCGTTAAAGTTAGTTCGTTCTAATCGGTTCGTTGGTTGTCAATGAAAAATTTTTTGAAATTTGAAATTGTTTATCTCTCACTGACTTCAAAAAATAAAGAAAAATAACTTATTAAAACGATACAACTTGCTACTTGAACGCCCTACGCATGTCGGCAAAATGGCAACCTAAGTCGGTAACACACTAGCCGATTTTATTCCCCGATCATAGCGAATTGATTGCTGGCGAAAATCGCTGATATCTGACATGCCAAATATCGGCGATTTTATACACTGATCATTGCGATCGGTGTATAAAATCGCAAGTGTGTCGCCGGCTTTTAGCTGCAAATTTAGTCGCTATGGCGGCCACAACGTTTCGCAGCTTGGAGCGCTGAATTATCACCGGTACAACTTACAGCTTCCAATATCATCGAAGCAGGAAAGCAATCCTGAATTCCAGTCCCTCAGAACTTGAGTTTGTGTAACTACAACAGTTGCACCAGGCTGGGGGGTCACGATTTGGGCCATTTTCACTCCTTCAGAAATCTAGCGACTGACTAGCGAAAAGAAAAACAGAAAGAGTAAGTTTATTATTTTCATTCTGCCACCCATTCCACATCAAGGTATAGTCCCACTCAATTTTCCCAGAATGTGTTGTACTTGGTTCGTAAAGGAAGTTAAAATGGCTACGCAATCTTAACAGTGTCCAGTGTGTTCGTCACCGATTTGTGACATTATTAATTGAGCATGCAGATGATCAAAAAATACTCCTACAACAAAATATTTCGCTAAGGGATTCGTGCCACAAATTCACCCATCGAAATATGTGGCCCTGATCATGAGACTGGGAATTTTGCCTTGAAAATTTCACGCTATGATTCCGATAACTCCCTTACAAGAAATTTGGTGGACACGAAAGGACTGAGCCTTCATTGGTCTATTACCCCCCCCGCCAAGCCCCCGCTTTACAAAAACTTAAAACGCGAGAACGGCAAAGACCAGCTCAATATTTACATAATTAGTACGTTTCTTTCAACCACGGTTAATGTTTGATGGCGTATCCATCAAGAATATTCAAATGAACTTGTCATGAATATATTACTCTTTAATTTAAAGTCAATATTGTATCCGTGACAAAAACGTTCTCATCCGGAGTACATGATTTTTCACAACTGCCGCAGTAAAGCATCCACAAGTAATATGAAAAGGTCGAACGAGAAGACACACACATAAATGAACCCCGAATCGACGCGAACAACTGTGGTCGAGTCGTTGACGTGACTAAAATTATTCCGCAGAACATGCCCTGCAGCAGTAACTGTTCAAACTAATTAGTGTGCTCGGCTGAGGTTTCACTTTCACTTGTGGCTAGAAAAAAAAACTCACTTCAGATTTAAGCATTTTCTGTAAATGGTCTTCGAGAACGTTTCTTTAAAAACCCAATTCTTCAATTTGTTTGGAGAGATCTCGTCGGAACTCACTCCATTTTCATAAGTTCAATAATGCTTACAAGTGCAGTTAACGGGTCATTGCAATGGTTTGCTCTGACGAAACGCCAACGCTCCAAACTTCAACTTTAGGAACCCTTCATATTAAACCAAATCATCTATCAAGGGGGGGGGGTTGAACTTTATAATTCCCAGTACGAGGCAAACATTCCGAAGTTTGGGGTTAAGATTTAATCACTCGCGATAAGCCATTGATGTTATCTGCAAAATGCCATCTCTAATATGCATCAAAATGACATTTTTTAACGAAACTTGAGTAAATCGCGCACGCCCAAATATTCATACCGGTATCTTTCCCGCGCAAAATGCACGATTTCCCGCTAGTCTCGCAAAAAAAGACGACAAAAACGAGTGAAAAAACATCCTATCCCCTCTTACAGTGATAAAAAGATCCTTAGCAATGACATGATCTCGCTAAATATTCTTAAATTTAAGATTCTGTGCTGATGCAGTTAATTACATCGTTATTTTGTGAGCAGAATGGTAGTACAACGCGGAAAAAAATTCAACATAACTTTACGGTAATGCGACTCTTGTTCCGCGAGGGTGTTGTTTGTCAGGTAATTAATTAACTCCTAAATTAACCTCGAAATGTCAAGAATTTCGTAAAGCTGAAAAACATCTTTTGTTTGTGGTTCTGGTTTCTATGGCGATTGGTAACAAGTCAACAGAAGTCAGTCATTTGGCAGCGACAGCACCAAAGTAAAGCATACGCTAAACTAATACTACTGACAGTTTCGAACGCTTTTTTCTGTATGGTACGATACCAAATTGAAATAATTCGTCGAGCATTAAAACCTAGTCAAGCGGGTGACAATATCTAAAAAATGTTGAGATGGATTTTAATAAGAAAAGTGACGCATTTCATTGGATTATTTCATTACCGTGAAATCGAATAGAGAGGAAGCAAGAAGAGATCGTGACTAGCATGATTTTTTGAGTCCAAATGCCACCTTTTTAAATATTAAAGAGCGATTAACGAGTAGAAAAGCTGAAGTAATTAACGACTTAAGGTGCAAGTGGAAGTTGCGTTACAGCAGATGCCAAGACTCTATCGATATGAGGGAGAATATAAATTAGGTTCACACGAATAACATTCACTGACAACGAATTTTACATTGACTACAAGTTTTTCATCAGAAAAGGAAATTTCATCCGGAAACGGCTCAATTAAAAACAAATTCCTAATGCCTATTCACTTAGGTAAATCGAGATAAAACGACAAAATCGACTGTAAACGAAGAAAATCATGTTATTCATATGTGTTTGGATAGCTGGTTCAATTTCTTCATAAATTTTCATCAGATTTATCGTTTTTCGCTCACTGGACTCCGATTACATCGATGTTTGAGTGAACGTGACTTTCCGAAAACGAGAGCTTAAGAGGGTTTGTTTCAAAGCCTTTTCGTTTAAATATTACACTTGTTTTAGAACCCTTCTTATTGAACAGATGGTTTCATATGCACAACTAACTAGAGACCGAAAGCAGAAACCTGTTTCATGTTTACGACGCAGAGAATATAGATACAAGAACAGAATGTACTGCAGGGCCTTAATTATAATTCCACCGCGAGCCACAAAGCTCTGGGAAGACCTATATAGTTGTTTGCAGCATTGAAAGGTTGTTTTGACTGCGAGAAGTAACACAAACACCCGACAAATATTGGGTGCGGACTGAGCGCGGGGAATCATAAAAGCAGAACTGTAGCGACGGAACCCTTAGATGAGATATACTTCTCGAAGCGTGTGAGTTGATACATTGCGACAAAGAAATTTCACAAAGCCTTGAAATTACTTAACATAGAAGTAAATCCCAAGTGTTTTCTCCTGACTGAAGGCGTAGCTTAAAGATGAGCTACATGATGTGGATGATAACCAGTATCGCGAATCTCTCAATGTTATTACCGAAGAAAATAATCCAGTTAACTCGAATCGGGGTTTTTCTCACTGTCAAGATCGAAGAAATTTGCTTGTAAACTTTCATACCTGATAATAATCACGCAGAACCTCTCCTGAGAAAGCGGACACACACCTCTGGATTTTCAATGCAGCAACAAGAACGATTGGCCACACCAAATATGCGTCGACACTGGGTAGTTTCTATTTCATTTTCATGTGTGTGACGTCAGAGTGACCTTGGAAACGAAGTCACTAATAGGTAATTCGAGAAACATCCAAGGACAGGAAGACACCTTTCACCTTTCCTGTACCATCTCGCAGAGAATTGCCGTGCTGCGAAAAATAAGACGCTTTTTGCCCATTGATCAAAGGAAACTTTATTAAAATGCTATGATCAAGCAGACAATGCTTTATGCATCAACCATATGGACATCTTGTTCTGCTGAGAATTTGCAGAAAGTCTTTAAACTTCAGAAACGCGCGGCACGTGTAATTCTCGGAGCTGACACTAAAGCGAATAGCGTACAACTGTTTAGGAAATTGGATTGGGTTCCATTCTTTCATG